CAACATTGATGTATTAATAACAACATTGATGTATTAATAACAACATTGATCTATTAATAACAACATTGATGTATTAATAACAACATCGATCTATTAATAACAACATCGATCTATTAATAACAACATTGATCTACTCAGTTTGTATTAATGCAGTTTTTTTTCAAACAATAGGTTAACTTTTAATTTGAAAGCCTTGAATAGAGAAACCCAGAAGCAGGTACGGACACACACACGGAAGATCCATGAACTAAAGCTTGCGTTTAGTGAGTTTTACCTGAGTTTGATCCTTTTGCAGAATTACCAGAATCTTAACTTTACTGGTTTTAGAAAAATTTTGAAAAAGCATGATAAGGTAAGTGTTTAAGAGATTTTTTTTTTTCCACTCTCAGCAAAAATTATTAAAAAGTTTTCTTTATCTTCCGTTAAAAAATACTTTTCTTTTGTTAGCCGATAATCAGTGTGTTTTTTCCTATTGATCACACGTCCGAGGAACAAAATTGTAACAGAAGTAATCTTTAGAGTGTCTCAATGACAAGCTGACATTCTAATATATTTTATTATTATTTTGGAAACACTAAGCTATGCAAATGCAAAATAGGTCCGTTCTTTAAAATGAACATTAAACAATTGAATTTGTATTACTTTCTTCTTATGGTGAACTTATTAATGTATTTATTTTTAAGGTACAGTTTGTTTTTTTCATACAAGGTATATATGACAACTACACAAAAAATTTTGTCTTCGTAAAATGCCGTAATCTGTATGAAATGGTATGATGAGGAAATTACTTTTGTTTTTTGAATTTTTTATAGCCTGCTTTCCACCGCCTCTTCTTCTTCTTTTGTCTGTCAGCATAATTATTGAATTCTGTGAGATACTTCTACGATATTATGGTGTTTGTAATTTATTTGTTACGGTTGTATAATCCTCTGGGTTGTTTTGTCTAGGAAATATTTTGGTAGAATTGTAATTAGTGTAGAAAGACTAGAGTATTTGGTACAGTGAGTAACGAGGAAGAAAATATTTCTCAATAGTGTGATTTAGTATCTTTTAGATAGATAGATAGATAGAACAGTTTAGTACAAGTACTTTTCTTCTTCTGTTTTATTTTATATAAACTGCAAAATCCTCTAAATAGGTTTTACAAGTTAAACAGTCTTCTCTTAATGTGGTAGTAAAAGTTTACAAGTTAAACAGTCTTCTCTTCATATGGTAGTAAAAGTTTACAAGTTAAACAGTCTTCTCTTCATATGGTAGTAAAAGTTTACAAGTTAAACAGTCATCTCTTCATATAGTAGTAAAAGTTTACAAGTTCAACAGTCTTCTCTTCATATGGTAGTAAAAGTTTACAAGTTCAACAGTCTTCTCTTCATATGGTAGTAAAAGTTTACAAGTTAAACAGTCTTCTCTTCATATGGTAGTAAAAGTTTACAATTTTTAAAAGGACAGAAAAAATTAGCAAACTGGGTAAACATGTATTTTCATTCCTTTTTTTTTAATTTTTACCATCTGTTAATTAGGTTTAAATAAAAAAAAATTTAAGATGTTTGGATATTTAACATTTATAAACTGTGAAGTGTCATAGTTAATTTACTGTAGTAAATTAGCTCTTGAGTATCATTCAGTGTTAGATATTTTACTTTTTTAATCTATTAGTGTTTGTTTTATAATTATGTAAGGCTTCTCTTAACATTAAGAGCAATGTGTTATTCTGTAGCTAAGGAAAGTAATTCTAACAGTTGTTAGGTACTGATGCCGGAGCAAAATGGAGACAGACCTTTGTGGAGATTGCACCTTTTTACACCAACAAAGATATTGATAAACTTATTCAAGAAACTGAGGTAAAGTTGTTTTTTTCCTTCAGATTGGATGTCAAGTGAAATTCTGTTGGTGTAAAGAACAATCACAAACAGAATTGAATTAGAATAGATATGGGTTATTTCTTTCTGTTTTTTTTTCATTTTACCAACAGGCTCGGCATGGCCAGGTGGTTAGGGCGCTCGACTCGCAATCTGAGGGTCGCGGGTTCGAATCCCCGTCACACCAAACATGCTCGCCCTTTCAGCCGTGAGGCTGTTATAATGTGACGAT